CTAATATAAATAATCACTTATAGATTTAAGTATTGTTTCAAGATTTAGAACTGAATTAACACAATTATGTGCAGTTGTCTATCTTGTTTTTACATATGATTTTAGACTACCAGAACTAATTTTTGTCATGATTTCTTCCCAGAGAAATTCTCCTGCTTGATGTGATTTTCTGGCACTAATAAATAAATAATAATTTAATTTTTAAAAATTTTTTTCAACAAAATAAAATAATAAAATTTACATACTTTATTAATTGTATCTTTGGCAAATTTCAATTTTATAATATTTGATGTAAATAAATTAATATGATGTGTAATATATTATAATGGAATAATATTAGAAAATTTCTTTGTTACTATTTTTTTAACTAAAACCATATTTGCAGCATTATCTAAAACTATTGTTGAAAAATTTTTATAACCAATATTATCTATAACTTCTTTTATCTTTTGAGTAATGAATTTACCAGTATATGAATTTTTAGACAAATTCATTAAAGAATGAATATATTCTTTTTTACTTGCTATTATTATCACAAATATATATAAAGATTAACTTAAAGAAGTAGTCTATCATCTAATCCTATAAAATATATATATATATATATATATATTTAATCTCATTCTTTTTATTAACTTCTCTATAATTCCTTTTTTCTCCTATATATTTTAAAAATACTTACTAAGTGTTAAATTATTTTCATTTACTAGATCTTCTTCAATTGTTATTTGTATATAAGCTAATTCTGTATTTATAAGGGTTGTTGAAAGAAAATTTTGTTCAGGAGGTTCATATCCAGGACATAAAAATTTTGAATAATTTAAAAAAAAAAGAATATTCAACTAAGGAAAATGGAATATCACAACAGACAAAAAATTTAGTAAGAGTACAGGTACAATGAATTTTTTTAGTAAAATTAATTAAAAAAGATTTATAAAAAGATATTACTGATGATTGAGTATGACATCTTTTATTACTAGTTGAAGTGGAGGTAATAATAGTAGTAGTTATAAATTGTGTATTTGACTGAATTGAATTATCATTATTTGGACCTCACATTTTTTGCATTATAATTCTAAGGTATTTAGCTTTAATATTTACAAATACTTTTGTACACTGGGTGACAATATGGTCCTCAAGATCTGTTAACTTGATATTTTTATATTTTTTTAAGTAAAATATATATTTTGTTTCAATATGTCCTAATTTGTAAACACCTATTATTTCAAAATGGTCACATATTGCTTTTTTTTACATCCACTTTTTTTAGATGAGATTGATGTACTTTATTCAAGTTCCCATTCAGGAGCTGAACTAAAAGAATTTATTTCTTCAAAATCGTCAAAATACATATTTTCTGAAAAAGACATTTTTAAAAAAAATATCAGATTGTATAGTTCATAGAATAAAAAATAACAATGGATTAATCAGTGATTAAATTATCTGTGCAATAGAAAAATTGTATAACAAAATTAATTTTATTTATAGATTATAATGTTTTTATTTAAATATATATTTTAGCAAATGCTCACAAAACTTCTATACTAACATTCTTTAGAGTAACTAGTGGTTAAGTTATTTTTGGTTTGAATTATATTTTATATTAACATTTTTTGAAATAACTAGTAGTTAAGTTATTTTTGGCTTATGACAATGTAAAATAAATAAAGTAAAAAAAAAGAAACTAATCATAAAGCTGATTCCTTTATCACAAAACTCCAAAAAATGTAAGATATAAAGAAAAAGTAAGTGAGAAGAAAGGTAAGTAAATTGTTTCTATTATTTTTTTTTTAAAAAAAATAATATTAATACATATTACAAGTTTACAATTACAATTCCAAAGGAAGGGTAAGTACCTATACTATTTTACGAATCTAAGAACATAATTCTGAGGAAAGGTAAGTTAAGAAGAGGTAAAAAGGTAAGTAAATATATTTATTAAAAAAAATAATAATAAAAAGAAAGAAAAAACTTACCCACGCCATTTTGTGATCACCTATACCATTCCACAAGTCAAAAAGCACAATTTCAATAAAGGTAAGTTAAGAAGAAGTAGAAAGGCAAGTTAACAAGAGATAGAAAAATAAGTAAATTTATTTTATTAAAAAAATAATAATAATAAAAGAAAGAAAAAGCTTACTCATGTCATTTCGCAAGTCTAAGAGTACAATTCTGATGAAAGATAAGTTAAGAAGAGATAGAAAGGTAGGTAAATATATTTATTAAAAAAATAATAATAATAAAAAGAAAGAAAAAACTTATTTATATCATTTCATAATTATTTGTGTCATTTTGTAAGTTCAAGAGTACAATTCTGAAAAAAGGTAAGTTAAGAAGAGGTAGAAAAGTAAGTTAAGAAGAGATAAAAAGGTAAGTTAAAAGGTAGAAAGGTAAGTGAATTTATTTTATTAAAAAAATAATAATAATAAAGAAAGAAAAAGCTTACTTATGTCATTTTACAATTGCCTGTGTCATTTTGCAAGTTCAAGAGTACAATTCAGAGGAAAGGTAAGTTAAGAAGAGGTAGAAAAGATAAGTAAATATATTTATTAAAAAAATAATAAAAAAAGAAATAAAAAAATTTACCTATGTCATTTTGCAAATTTAAGAGTATAATTTTGAGGAAAGAAGAGATAGAAAGATAAGTTAAGGAGAGGTAAAAAGGTAAGTTAAGAGGTAGAAAGATAAGTGAATTATTTTATTAAAAAAAATAATAATAAAGAAAGAAAAAGTTTACTCATATCATTTCGTGATCACCTGTATCATTTCGTGAGCCCAAGAGTACAATTTAGAGGAAAGATAAGTAAGAAGAGATAGAAAAAGTAAGTAAATATATTTATTAAAAAAATAATAAAAAAAAAGAAATAAAAAACCTACCTATGTCATTTTGCGAATTCAAGAACACAATCTTGAGGAAAGAAGAGATAAAAAGGTAAGTTAATGAGAGGTAAAAAGGTAAGTTAAGAGGTAGAAAGATAGGTGAATTATTTTATTAAAAAAATAATAATAAAGAAAGAAAAAGCTTACTTATGCAATTTCACGATCATCTGTACCATTTCGTGATCGCCTGTACAATCCCTAAATTTTATTTTTTTTAAAAAAAATCTATAAATCTATAATTTTAAAGTTTCACAACTATTTCATCTCCTGTCGAAATACTAATTTTGACTAAGGTTATACTAAATTTTGTCTTCTGTAATAATTCTGAAGTTACACTATAATTTTGTCTTTCACTGAAATGTTAATTTTAATTGAAGTTACACTAAATTTTGACCTTGTAATAATTTTGATCTCCATAAATATTTTCATCTTTTATAATAATTTCGAGATTAATTTTGAATTTCAGAATTCAATTTTGAAATCATTTTAAATTAACCAGGATTAAGTTTTGGATTTTTAATTTTGGGAACATGTATAAATTATATAATTTAAAAGAAGTTTATAGAGTTGTAAAAAATACTTTGTTTATTTTATTAGTTTAAATGATTTTTTGATATTTTCAAGTATTAAATATTACTTTTGATTATTTTTAGAACTTTTTTTTGTAATGAAAATTATATAAAACTGGTGGTGCAGTACTGTTTATAGATATCAACAAGAAAAATAATTATATAGTTTAAAAGGAGTTTATAGTATAGTAAATAGGTAATACTTCATTTATTTTATTAGTTTATATAATTTTAAGGTATTTTCAAATATTTTAAAATATTAATTATTATTTTTTGATTATTTTTTATAATAATTTTTGTAGTGTTTCAGGTGGTACAGTACCATTCTATAGATTTAAATAAGAAAGAAGTAATTTTAATTTTAAAAATTTGTAAATTGATGGTATAAAAAAAATATATAAATTAAATTGATAAAAAAAAAGTTTGTTCACACTTTCTGTTACTCTATATATTTATATATCTTCAGAATTTTTATATATATTTTCAAAATATAATTAAAGAAATTAAATTTAAAATTTCAAGAACAGTTTTTTAAGTAAAATTATAATAGTTTATTATTTTTAATATATTTACAAATTTGATAAATATAATTAAATACAAGAATTTCAACTTTAGTAAAAATTGATCAATTTAAATTAAACCAAAATTTTAATTTTGAATTATCAATTTCTATAGTTAAAATTTTATTTTATATATAGTAAATAAAGTTTGATGTAAAAAGATTAAACAATTTTTATTAAAATCAAGTTTCTATTATAGAGATTCTATACTATATAATTATTATTAGAAAACAAAAGAACAATTAATTATTCAATATAAAGTACAATTGAGAAATTCAAAGTATTTGTATACAAAAATATTTGGAAATATAAATATAAGAGAGAATTAACTAATGGAATTAGAAACAAAAACAAAAAAAAATATTAGGTTTATATAAATTAATTTGAATTTTATGTTTTTAATAATTATTAGAATAAGTTATGTATTTTATATTATGTAAAAGTAATATAGAAAGTAAGGCCTTATTGAAACAAAAAAAAATAAAAATAAAATAAAAATTTTAACTTAATTTTTTTTATTTATGATTTTATATTTAATTTAAAGATCAATAGTCTTTTTAATAAAATATTCAATAATATAAAGTTTTTTTCTTTTCTTTATTCTTGAATATTTTTAAAATAATAAATGTGTTAATTGATATGGAATTGGTTTGCAATTTCAGTGAGATTTTGTTTATAATAGAAACATATTTCAGTAAGATTTTATTTATAATAGCAGATAGAGAAAAATTAATATAAATAGGATTAATGGTTTTGATTGGATGTGGCACGGCTGCATGCGCCACCAACCTGGCACACATTTAATTTTACTCACACAAAAAAATGAGATTTTCACTGGCCAAAAAAGTTCCTCGCTTTTTTTTTTGTAAGACATACAGCAATTATTCCCCTTTCTTCATTTTCATATAAAAGAAATCAAATTAATCTGTAAACAATTAAACGATAAATTTAAATATTCAACCTTATCTTTTGAACGAAATATTAATATAAAATGTCTTCTATTTTAAGTACAAGTAGTAGTGAAGACTCTTTGCCTCCGGCTAGAGTTCACTCTAGAGTTTTAAATTGTAAATGGGAGGAATGTTCGTCAAGCTTTACACTTTTGAATGACTTGGTAAATCACTTGCACGAAGGTAAAAATAAAAAATTATTATTACACCCCAATACATAAGTTTAATAATTATTTGTATATATTTATATCTGATACACACCGGTTAACAGTTTCCCCGATATAGAAGGAACTGTTGAACCAGTGTGACCGCTTTTCCTTTCTTAACTAGCCTTCCTTTTCCGCGTTTAATCTAACTTAATATTTTATCATTTAGACCACGTTGGTCGTAAAAAAGCAAATTACACTTGTGAGTGGGTTACTTGTCCAAGGAAAAGTGCCACCCAAACTTCACGATTCGCTCTAATCACCCATTTACGTAGTCACACCGGCGAAAAACCTTACGATTGTAAAGAGCCAGGTATATTGTCTCAAAAAAAAATAATTTTTATTATAATATTCGCAATTTTTTTCATTAACATCATTATGAACTTTTAGGTTGTGAGAAAAGTTTTACGCGACCCGACTCATTAACAAAGGTATTTTTTAATCTATATACATTACTTTCTTCGTTCAGTTGACCTCTTTTCTTTTACAAAAAAAAATTTATCATAATTATCATACGTTTTAGCATATGAAAAGTCAACACGGAGATTCAAGCAAAAAACATATAATGGAAGACGTCACAAGGACACATAAAAAACGAAAATTGTCGCTTTCACCCGAAGAAGATGAGGAGGATTCGCATGCTTCAAATAGTCGTCAATCACATTACAATAATCAAAATAGTAACATATTAAGACATAAGCAGCAATCTTCACATCAACCCTTCGATAGATCAAGACAACAGTCATCACGACAATCTTCGGAAAATCCCCAAAATCGAGATTATACGTCTGATGGAGATTCTTCAGTCTCGGAAGTTTCGAATTCTTCCTCTTCAAGTGTTGAAAACGAAAATCAAAAGTCTTTTTATGAAAAATACCTTTTATTAAAAGCCAAACATAGATATATTCGAAAGGAAAATGAGTTGTTATCGGATGAATATGAAGCCATCAAAAAGAAACTGAAGAGGCTAAGAACTGAGAAGGACATTCTTTTAGATGCCGTGATGTCAACAGATGGTGAATGCTAAAACAATATATATTTTTTATTTCTTGCCTGAAGGATTTTCTTTTTTTTTTTTTTTTTTGCATTTTTTCTTTTCTTCCCGTATATATACACGAATACACGAACATTATTGCACATATTCATTTATTAATGTACATCATATTCTGTACATAATATTATATTGTCGGATGAAAATTTGTTTTTTAGTCTGAATAAAAAATTGTCTAAAGTCACATGACTTATTATTATCGAAAACTAAAAATAGTAAAACAAATTTCTATTATAAGCTATTTTTGTACAAAAAATCATTTATTACAATGTCTAATAAAAAAGAAAAAAAAATTATTTGCTTATTTTCTAATGTGCTTTCTTTGAATTCAATAATATTTTATTCCATTATAATATATTTATAATATATTTATAATAAATTTGTTTGTTTCATCTAAAATTTAATATATTAATAAAAATTTTGCAATTTCATCTAAAAAAAATCCTTTATAATAATAATTTAGGTTGAGATTTCTTTAACCAGTTGAGGAGTGTATATTTTGTTCAAAAAGTTTATATATAGTTGAAAGGTTGCAGGTAGAAAAACGTCTTAACACTTGCAAAATTGGTAATCGAACCAATCTATGTATAAAAATAAATAGAATGATATAGCAACATTAAAAATTAGAAATACAATAAAAATAATTAAATCAATAATAACGCGTCTCTTGTGAACATTATTAAACAATATTCAAATTGAGAAAAGTCTTTAATGACATTTTCTTCGTTTTTTTTTTTTTTTTTTTTTTTTTTTTTTTGATTATATATTCAACTTTTTTAAAGAATTGTCTGTGAAAAATTCGTGTGACACATCGAATTAAAAACTAATTAACTGATTAATATGATTAATACCAAGTGACAATAAATAAACCTGAAATAATTGTCACCTCGATATGATATTTTTTTTTATAATTCTATTCGCAAGATAAAGTAATGTAAAATACACAAAACTAATCCAGCGCTTGCCAAATAACCTCATTTGGTTTACGTAATCCAGATTTTGTAAAGAAAACATATAATTAAGAGCTTGAAGGATAATTCCCGTCAGGAGGCCCATTAAGAACTTCTTCCAAGCTACGATGCCGAGATAATTCAGACAACACAGATTCATCAACTGGTATAATAGATTTACGCCGGAATAAATTGAAACCTTCGGGTCGTCCATCAAAAAATTGCTGAAAAAGATGAAAAAAAAAACACATTAATAAAAAATATTTTAATTAATTAATTTTTATTATAAAAAAAAAATCCAACATACAAGTTCTCCATGCTCATCATCATCATGTCCATCATCCTCAGGACGGGTTTCTCCCCCGGAATCATCTTCCCCACTTGATCGATTTTCCTCAACAAAGTCTTCAGAATCAAAAGTGACGTGAGTTGAAGTGTCTAAAAACCGGCTTTGCTATTTAGAACTTATAACTAGTAGATAAACGTTAATAAAATATAACTCACCATTCACATTGGTTCTCGAAGATGTCGAAGGTGTCCCAATAGCATAAGGTAGCGGAAGTCCTTGAGCATTGTGTGCAGCTGTTCTCTCTAATCTTTGCCAAGTTTCTTCTCGTTCTCTCATTTTTTTCTTTTCTCTGTCAAAATATAACTGTTGTATTTAAAAATATTTTTATTGAGATAAATGCAAATTAAAATGCTTATAAATGCATACACTTACAATTGACGACTTTGTTTATATTGTGCCGTACACTCATCAAATAGTGCAGGATTAATCTCCATAAACAATTTTAATGCATTGTATACTAAACCATGAATAGTTCTATATTTTATTTCAATCAAGTCAAGATAAGTCAATCTTATAACATTTTGAACTTTAATTAATTAATTAACTAATTAATTATAAATAATAAAATATATAATCAACTCACCGATTCCAGTGTGCCTTGGAATTCTGATATAAAGTTGGAAACATTACTGGCAAAATGACGTTTACGTTGTCACCTATCAAATTAACAATGTACTCATTATTCCAATAATACAATGCCCTCTCTGCAACCTAAAGTGAATATAGTATGAAAAATGTTAATAATATTATTCTTTATATAAATTTATTTATTTATTCAAAAATTAAAAGAAATAAAAAATTTTATTATTCTACCTGAAAGTGTGGACTTGATACACATCTAGCAATTTGTTGGAATAAAGGTACCTGAATTTTAACAAATTCTTGTGGTTCTATAACATCTAAAATTTCTTCGATCTCATTCAAAAACATCACTTCCTTTGGACTATTTACTTTAGGCCAATATCGTAACAAACCACAAATAACCTAGAAATTAGAATATTTAAATTTTTTTTTTTTTTTTTTTTTTTTTTTTTTTTTTTTTTTTATAAAATTTTTTAAAAAAAGTTCAAATTTAAATCAAAGAAAATATCATATACCTCTTCTGTTAGTGATGGATCCTTTTCCAAAAATTGTACCACACAATATGCAAGTTGTGGATGATACAATGTTAATGATTTTACTTTATGTAAGGGTATCAATACTTTTGTTAAAAATGTTTTGTGTTCTTCTTTTAATGGTAATGCAAAGCCATTAATGATACTTAAGAAGAAGAATTTTATATATTAATTAAATTAATTTAAATTATATAATGATATATATTAATTAAATTAATTTAAATTATATAATGATTAATAAATAGGAAAGGTTAGAAAATAATTAAAATAAATTTAAATAAATTTATATGTATAATACCTTCCAAGAATTTCTAACAATTCGGCGATACCATTATGACGTTCAGTTTCATATATGAACTGAAAGAATACATTATTAATCGATCTTCGAATAAATGCGCGCAAATTTAAGAATTTCCCATAAATTCGATGTAAGGTGGTCTTCAAAAAATCTCGTTCCCTCGGATCTTCACTATCAAATAATTCCAATAACTGAGGGATAGAACAAAAAGTGATTCACAATTCCAAACATGTGGAAAATAGAAAATTCCTCAACTTACAAAACATTTTTAAGGAAAAAAAAAGGGTCCATTATAATCTTAGAAAATTAATTCACATACTTGCAATATAAATTGTGGATCAATGTACTTCTTTGCAATATTTGTATTGAAATCAGGGGACTCAATGAATCGAAGGAAAAATTCGTAAACAATTTGCAAATGTGGCCATGCAAGTTCGAGAACTGGTTCATCTTCCTCAGGATCGAAAGCATCACCAGTAGGGTTGACTTGTGGAGGTATTGTTCTAAAAAGATTGATAGCGAACTAACCAATCATGTGCAGGTTCATTTTTTCCTGGAAATTATTATCTACCAAATAAAAAGACTTTCACGTCTAATTTCACACTAATAAAAAATTCGACCACCAACCATTGAAACAACTTCTGGGTATATTGGTTCGGTAATTACTCCACGATTTGTGTTAATATATTCCAAGAGTTCAGCCAGTGTTGACCTTTTGATCTCTTTTCCTTTAAGGTCAGCGCTTGCATCATTGAAATCGAAAATTACTGAACATTGATTGAGTTTTCTTAGAAAAAGCTCTTGTCTCTTATCAGGTGGGACCTCTAAAAAATTTGAAAATTTGAAAGATTGTTCGGTTTAACTCGGTAAGATCTTACATAAATAACAATCAAAATGAAAACAAACCATTAAAATTCGGTAACTTCTCCAGTTCGACTTTCTCTGTAACGTGAAACCTCGAAGACCTTTGACGCCTTGGTACTTTGCTTAAGGGAATAACATCTTTCGGGGTTCCCTTCAAACGATTGAAAGGGTCTCTTTTGGGGGGTTCCTCTTTTGAGTGAGGCGGCTTATGGTTACTTGCAGGTGAAGGAGGTGCAGGATTTTCTGAAGAAGAAGCATGAGCTTTCTAGAAAACCAATCCGCCAAATAAGCCAATAAAAGGTATTTTATGAATGAGAGTGTTAATGTAAAATTTAGCAACGTTAACCCCTTTTCTAATTCTAGTACTCTGCACTTTGTGCAAAAGAACAAGTCTTCCCAACCTGTTCTCCAGAATTAACAACTACGATTGGGGGAGTTGAGTCATTTGTATTTACGATCTTGCCTGAAGGCTTTGAGCTGCCCCCTGTTTTGCCATTACTACTACTATTTGAGTCTCCTGATTTTCGTAGCTAAGTATACAGATGGTAAATAGTAAGTGAATTAAATAACAAACTAAATAATGAAATGAATAAGCCTCAAAAAAAAGACATACAACTCTTCTTTTGATTATGTTGTTCATGGTCGCCGTTGAGGAAAGTATTTACTTAGATTTACAACTTAAATTTAATGAAGAGCAAAGTTTTTGGATTTATAGCATGTATTACAACAGTTATAGTAAAATCTACCAAGCTAATTTCTTGGTACGATACTTGGTTTCACCGAAAATACATATATCGACAAATAATTAATGACTAATCAAAAACGTGCGCAGTTTATATTTGTGCATAAAAATGTAATTCCTAATGAAGTCATATGATAATTGTGATAAGACATATCAGATATGCAAAGTTATCGTTTTTGATAGATCTATGGTTATTTTTGATCATTTAATATTAGTATTGTGATCCGAATGTAGATTTTTAAAAAGGATTTATAAAATAACATGTGATCTTAAAAATTATATATTATTATTGGTTAAAATTAGATGCTAATCATGTGTAATTTTTTTATTTTTTATTTTTAGAATTTTATATTTATTTTTCTTTATTTCTAGAATTCATCCTTATTTTTAGGATTTATCCTTATTTCTAAAATCTATCCTTATTTTAAGGATCTATTCAAATTCACCCTTGGTTGATCCTAAATTTTAAAGATAAGAATTTATAATTCAGATTGAATTCAGATAATCTTTTAAATTAGAATTTTCTTTTTTTATTTAGTATTATAGTTATATAAAAAATCTTTCAAAAAGTTTTACTAACTTTTATAAAACTTCAGTTTATTTTTTTTTATTAATTGTAAATTTTATTAATTATAAATTTTAATATTCTCATTTCAGGTACCTATAAAAAATAATCTTTCAAAAAATCTCAACCTTCTACAAGTTCTTATTTAAAATAAAATAAAAGTAACAATGATATAAAAGAACTAAAAATAAATTGCAATAGATTAAAATCATAATATTTATTGTTAAATACTATTATTTAATAATATAGATAATAATATATTACTTTTAAAAATCTTTAAAAAAATAACAAACTTGAACTAGAATTTGTAAATATAAAGTAATATAGAATTGATATAAAAAAAAATAATTTTTTATAAATATTATTAAGTAAAATACTATAATATGTTAACCAAAATATCTACCTGAGTAAAGTACCTTTGTGAATTGTATTTAAGTACAATTTACAGGTTTGAATTTCAATAAGATATATTGTACTTGAATATAATTTATAATATTATATATATTAATAAAAAATATTGTATTATCATAATTTTCATGTAATTTAAAATATGAAAATTGCCAATATCAATTTTTTTAAAAAACATTTTTATAAAATATTATAGAATTTATTATTATTACTATTATATTATTATTACTATTATATTATTATTATTATTATTATTATTATTATTATTATTATTATTATATTATAATTACTATTATTTTCAATTATTACTATTATTATTATCAATTTATAACTCTTCCCATATATTTTTATAATTTATTTCATTCTCATAATAATTGTTATCACTATTATTATTATTATTACTATTATTATTACCATCATTATTATCATTATCATTATTGTTATTATCATTATTACTATTATCATCAGTATTTTCATTTCCTATATCAAAAATATATTGACCTTCATCATCATCATTATTAATTTTATTATCATTTTTATTATCTCTTTCATTTTCTATCTCATTATTTAAATATATAAAATTTTTATCACTTTTTTTTTCCATTTATCTCATCATAATTAAAAATATATTTATATTTTGAGTCATCTTGGAAATTTGATATTCTACAACATTTAAATGAATGTTGTATAGGTATTGGATCAATATTATCATATGAAGTTTTTACTTATTTTGTAACTAAATTATATGCAAGATATTATATACATCCAGTTGGAGTTAATTTTTTTATTTCTTCAATTATCCAATCTTTATAATATTAGTAATACTATAATTAATTATAAAAATAATAAAATTCAAAATAATTAAAATAAAATAAAAATTTAATTATTATAATATTGGTGAAATAATAATAATTAATTAATTAAATTTAATAAAATAATAACATTGGCAAACTATAATTAATTAAACAAATTAAATAGTAACTTAAAATTATTAAATAAATTTAATAAAATAACATTAGCAAATTATTAAATAAATAAATTAAATAATAACTTAAAATTATTAAATAAAAAAAATAATAAAATTTGAATAAATTAAAATAAAATAAAAAATACTTTATTTTTAAATAATTTATTAATATTTATATTAAGTAGTTGTAGTTTACTTGTTAAATTATCAGGAATAACAACTAAATTAATATTTTTTTCATTAAATCTACTTTTTACAGAATCTATTAGGATCAATAAATAATGTTATATATTAATTTTAAATATTTTCAATTTATCAAATTATTTTATTTGAATTCATATATTTTTCACAGTTTATACAAATTATAATATCAGATAGAAAAATTTGATATAAAATATTTACAAATTTAAAAATTATCAATAGTGATAATTTTTTATTATCTGTTATATAAAAAAGTATCACAGTAAAATTTAATTTTTTGTATTCAGTAGTACATATACCAACTGTTTTGATATCTATTTCTTCTACTGTTATATTACTAGACATATTAAAAGTTAAGGATATCTTATTCATATTTTTAATTAATTTTAAAAAATAATTATATTGAATATAGTAATAAAGAATAAAATTTAAAAATTCATATTGTTTTTTAATTAAATATTTTAATAATCTTTATATAATTATTATATGGTAATAATTACTAAGTTTGTGATAATACATAAATTCCATTAACCATTTCCCACACCATTTATATTCTGATATATTAGAAGAAATTAAAATATATTGTAATTTTGTAAATAATTATTTGGTTTTTTTATATATCATATAATGTGAAATCACTTTTCATTAAGCATGTAAAGATTTAACCTATTTGATAAGTTCTACTTCAAGTATTAGATATAAAGGTTTTGTATCAAAAGTAAATTTTTTTAATATTACAAGTCAAAATTCAAATATCAGACATTTATCGAGTACCTATTAGGTATCTGATATATTTACAATATCAGACATTTATTGGATACCTATCAAGAAAGAATAAACATATTAAATACCTGATATGATTAATTATTACTAAATATCTGATAATTAATTTTGTAAATTTTATCATGTGCCTGATATAATAGTAATAGTTATGAGATAAATTTTATTATGATTATAATGTACATGAAGTTATTTTAACAATTAACTTACCTTCACAATTTTTACAATTAAACTTTCTTACTTCAATTATAACTAATTGAATTTTTCTTTCTTTATTAGATTTATACTTACATATAAAATTATTTTGAAATTCCGAAATTACAATTTCAGAAAAAAAAGTTAAAATAGTTTTTCATAAAAGACAAAATTATTTTATTCAAAATTTAAAATTTTTTAATTATCCAGATGTATTCTTTGATTGAATATATATATAATTGAATATTTTTTTTATTTTCATATATAGAATAGATTCTGCATAAATCTCAAAAAGTCAAAATATCTCAAAAATCCAAAATCAATTTTGAAAACATATATAATTAAATTTTCATATAAGTTTCTCATTAGTATACTTTTTCTGGATCTATCTATTAACTTCTTTTCTTTCACAATCTATACAATTACAAATATATTTGTATTTTTTTTTAGAATTTATTAAATCAAATAAAAGAGATTCTGCTTAGGCAATTGATTTTTGAGTTTTATTTTTTAAATCAGTCATTTTATTCAAAAGATAAGTAAAAAATATATTAGTCAAAGTTCTTTAATAAATTTATTTTCAAAAAAAATGTTTCTAAAATATTCATGTGGTTAAATATTTGTTTTCTATAATGCACAAAAATTATTTACATAATTTTTAAAGATGATATATATTCACATCTCAAAATTAGAGAAATTTTATTTAATTAATATATTTTTTATAAATATATATAGTAATGATTTATGTTTATTTAATATGAATAGTAAATAATTTATATTATTATATTAAATTTAATATGTTATACATTACTCCTCTGATTTATATATAAGTAAACAAATATTTTTTTTTAATTATTAATAATATAATCTCTTTCTCTTTAATATATATAATACCTCCTTGTGACCTATTTCTATTCATTTTTTTAAAATACATATAATGTTAATAATACTATATCATGTTAATAATACTATATTATATAATTTTCATATATAATACTGAAACCTGATATATGTATTTTTTATTTTTTTTTTGTTTTTGAGTAGTAATTAATTTTTCCTTTTAGTTTTGAGAAAAGATAAAGTTCTAAAAATTAAAATACTTTGTTTTTAAATCTATATTATATGTATTTTAGCTATATATAAAAATAATGTATCATAATTAAGAATATAAGTAATATGAAAATATTACTTTATATAATATCAGTAGAATAAAAATGGGTATTCTAACCTAGCATTAGTTATCTTGCTATATTTCACACCTCAAAAATACCATCAAGCATATCATTTTTTTGTACATCAATTCAAGCTTTTGGTCATACAAAAAAGCCATCAGCTATATCACTCCAAGTATGTAACTTGATTTATTTTTTTTGCCACATTTTCATATCAAAATGTATTAATTTTTTATATATCTAAAACACAATAAATTATCCAAATTCATATCAAAAAGGATAACAATTATTTATAATATACAGCTTGCTATTAAAAAAGTTCAAGAGAAGTGGTGAATGATATGAATGTAATAAATATCTTGATCCCTTCTCAGATATGAATCAAGCGTAAATTATATACCAATATTATTTACTATAGTAGAATTTAATTTAAAATCGATTCTTCACTACTTTTCTAGTATACAAAAATCTAATAAAATTTATATATATATGCTAAGTCTAATAAAAATTTTGTTATATATATGCTAAGTCTAATAAAAAAATTTGATATATGCTAAAATTTATACATATGTCAAAAATCTAATAAAATTTTAGATATATAATAAGTCTACTAAAATTTGGACCAGTTTTTTCACTCATCGAGAATCTAATTTTGAAGCCTCAGCATGTAATCTATTATAATACCAGATTACATAGTACCCTTTTAATATATCGAAATAATTAATTAAACAAAAGATTTTTATAAGTATTATATTTATAAACATACTATATACATGACTAGAAAAGATAAGAAAAATTGAACTTGTGATCGATGTGGACATATATGTGTAACCTCACAAATGGTTCGTGCTCATCTTAATCAAAAAAATCTATATCATCCTCAAGTTATTCCTATTACTTTTAGAATACATGCACCTAAAGTTATTTGATCTCCCAAGATACCTGATCCAGTTCCAATACAAGTATCTACTCTATCACCAAAACTTGTCACAACTTCTTTACCAACCTTGTCACCTCGTGCCAACAAACAGAAAGTGAATAATATTCTACAACGTATCAGGTTAACAATCAATAAATGCCCAGATGAAAGTGATAAAGAATGGGTTACTTGTCTTGCAGATCGATCAGATAAAGTTAACGGTACGAAATAGGATCGAAAATGATTATGTAGAAGAGGAGAAAATCTTAAAAGTTGTATAGAAAATACATTCTTATCCCTTTTACGAAATGATCCAAAAGTATGGCAAGAAAGAAAATGAATTGGTAGATATACTATAAAAAGAAGAGATGAAAATGGTGATATAGTTACATATATTAGCTCAGATTTGGATGAGTTAAACGAAGTTAAAGATAACATCAGAAAAATAATATCCTATTTATTAACAAACCCTCCCAATGAAATTTCACAGATTAATTCAGAAGCTGGTTCAGGTTCTTCAACCTAAGCTCATAGAGAGGAGATATTACAAAGTAGTAATTCTACAAATCCTAATAATGAACCAAATATTACTCAAGAGGAAATCAATTATTTTATTGTATTAGGTTTAATAGAAGAATAAGAAATCAAAGAAATCTGACTTGAATTGGGAGGTACTTTTTTAGCAGATAAGGCAAAGAGCAAAAATTTCATTTTAGAAAAATATATAAAAGGAGGATTTGCTACTCAATATCCAATACCATCAGGAAATATTATCTTTGAGGAAGTTGAAGTTGAAGATTCAGATAGACCATACCTAAGTTTATCTTCATTAACCAAATAACAAGCAATTGTCTCATTATATGAAAACCCAGTATACGCTTTTAATACTTCTATAGGTGATCCCAAAAAATATGCAGAAGCTCCATACATGCTTTACCTTATAGCTTCAGCTCGAGAACAAATTACAAATGTACTTAAAGCTGAACTCTGAAGAAAAGACCAGGTAAAATTATCAATAGTGATATATTGTAATTATATGAAAATAGAAAAGAAAGATAAAGGGGATTATAAAGTAGAGATTCCATTTTATATTCAAAAATATCATCCTGAAAAGATACGAGTCATTCTTTCAAAACAAGATATAGATAAGCATACAATATTATCAGCTGGAGAAATAAACGTGAAAATCGAAGAGTTTTTAAGCAATGGATCTAGATTGACATTAATTCAAATAGAAATGATATATATTAATGTTTATACATATAGAAGAGCTATTGGAGGATCTTACAAACCAACATCAAAAAGACTTGCCAATACTAAATGTATAATTAATCTAGATAACTCTAAATTAGGAGATGACAAGTGTTTAAAATATACTTTAGGTACATACTTTGCAAATAATAGAAGTGTTACCAAAAATTTACAACATCTTTCCTACCTTATACCATGTTTAAATATAGTTAATTTGAATGGTATTCCAATGCCAACACCCATTTGCCCTAGAACCTTTCAAAAGATTGAAGCTCAAAATCCTGATATTTCAATTAATATATAGAAATGGAAAGAAAAAACTACTATACCTAAACCTGTAATTACTAATAAGAATTTCTTTATACCTAACTTATGTCAAGTTGTGGGTTGTGAACATCCTAAACCAAATGAATGCATAACAAAAAGATCACATGTTATTTACCTTATGGCACTTATTGATATTAACAAAACTGAAGATACAGGTAAGTATGGACAAAGGAATTACAGTATTTTCTATGGATCAAAAATTCAGATAGATTAGTATGCAAAGATTCTAAGCATAATGATAAAAAACATCTTTGCAACTGATGCTTTCAAAGTTTTACATCGGAAAAGATATTATCATATTATTAAGATCATTGCTATGAATTAAGGGAAGCTACACAAAAAATAGACATGCTTACTAAGGATATAAATGATATCGAAAAATTCAAGTACTATACAAGAATGATATTTTCCCCTTGTATAATATATGCAGATTTTGAATCGAAAAATAAAAAATATGATGAATTATATGGTGAAAGCATACGCAAACTTGGTGAGCAGGTACCTAGTAGCTTTTGTTACTCAGTTCATCGAATTGATACTGGAGAGGTTTAGGAACCTTTCACATACTGAGGACCAAATGTCACACAAGAATTTGTTCGAAGAATGAATAAAGAATTAGTTTGAATTAATGAAGTCTTAGCAATTAATAATGATATTAGAGATGATATAATTTTTGAAATTGATGATAAAACTAATACAGA